AATTATTTCTTTTCATTATTACTCATGTTTAAACCATGGCGAAAATTAGAAGATCTTAAAAACGGATGTGATAATTATACAGAATCATTTCACAAAATAAAATTACATCTTCTAGAAGCATTACAATATCATGAAAAAATAGAGGAATTGCAAAAAGCATTTGAAACTGCAAAACAGTTAGTTCAGAAATATTTAGACAACGAATTAAACAAACAGAATATTTTGCAAGATGATCCAGAAAATCCAATAGGTATTCAAAATATAGAAGCTGGTGAAGCAATGCAAGATTTCAAAGATCTTGGTGAGAAAATAGATAAAGATGTTGATGTATGTGATATGATAGCAAAATTAAATCTAGATCAAAAACGTGTGTTTGATACAGTCGTTACAGCTGTAAAATCGGATAAATCACCATTACGATTATACGTTAGCGGAGAAGGTGGTACAGGAAAAAGTTTCTTAATTAAAACTATTAAATGCTGGATAAAACAAAATTTTAAAAAAGATACTGCTATAGCAGCTCCTACTGGCATTGCAGCGTTTAACGTAAACGGTTTAACAGTTCATAGACTACTTCAATTGCCTGTTGAACACGGTTTTATTCGTAAATATAAACAATTATCTGATCATGTATTAAAAGTTTTACGAGCAGATCTCGAAGATGTTATTCTGATTATAATTGAGGAAGTGTCGATGATATCTAATTTGACTTTAATGTACATACATCTTCGATTGTGTCAAATATTCGACACTACTGATACTGATGACGGTTGGTTCGGTGGAAAACACATTCTTCTATTTGGAGATTTGCTTCAATTACCTCCAGTAAACAATGATTTTGTTTTTGTGAGCTTATCAAAGAAAAAAATTGATAAATATCTTGATTCATTGGAGGCCACTAATTTGTGGACTAGATTGTTTGACTACGATGAATTAACAATCAATATGCGGCACCAAGGAGATGAAACTTACTGTGAGTTACTATCAAGAATTCGTATTGGATTAGTGACTCAGTCTGATTGTAAAATCCTCCAAACCAGAAAATTATCGTTTAAAGGTGTATCTATGGAATCTAGATTAAACGAATTATGTAATTTTATTAGTGATGTTTTGGCAGATACCGTATGTTTACTACCTACTTGTCACATGTGTGACGTTCTTAATGCGGCAATGCTAAATCGAATTACTTCTGAAGAATTTAGTATTACTTGCAGAAAATAAAATAAAGTGTAATTGCTTTGTAGAAAGAAAGATTGTAAAAACATTGTTAAGTCATGAAGATGATACTTCAAGAACAGCTGGACTTGCGAAAAAAATTATTATTAAAATTGGAGCAAAAGTTATGATAAGACGTAACATCGATGCTAGCAAAGGCCTTGTAAACGGTACAATAGGTAAAGTGATTTCCGTTGTTAAAAATGTATGGAATAATAATATAGAAAAAATAAATCTTCTTTTGCCGTCAGGTGAAGAAGAATTTTTAATTGAAAGAATATGTGTCAAATTTCCCGTCATGGAAGAAATATATGTCATTAGAAAACAATTTCCATTGTGTCTGAGTTATGGAATTACTATTCACAAAAGCCAAGGATTGAGTTTGCAGAACGCTATTATGGATGTAGGTAATTCTGTATTCAGTCCTGGTCAAATTTATGTTGCATTGTCTCGAGTAACATCTTTAGAAGGACTGTATTTAATTAATTATGATGCTTCATCTGTAAAAGCTAGTGAAGAAGCTATTATTGAGTACAATAGGTTAAAAAAATTACATAAACCTGAAGCAGAAATGATTCGTGTTTCAAACCAAAAGATTCGTAAGGTTAAAGATAATAATCGATGGACTTCATCAAAAGAATTTAGTTCTGTACAAGAACCACATCAAAATGTTCAAAAAAGTACGGATTGGATTATTTGTGGTTTCCAAAACACAAATAAAGTTTCATCCTATGCAAATGCGATATTGCAATGTCTTTTGCACTTAAGTATCATTAGAAAACAAATATTTAATTATGATAAAGAAAAAATTCTATTTGTATTAATGCATCAATATGAAAATGGAATGCCGAACTTAAATACATATAGAATACGACAATATCTAGGAGATAACTTTTTGAAAAATGTAAAACGTGATGCATTTGAATTTCTTTTAGCTCTTTGCGCAAAATTTGATTTTATAAAGACTGTAGTCGAGCATGAAGTAACTTTCACTACACGGTGCAAAAATTGTGAATATACAAATACAGTTATATCCAATAATATTGTAATCTCAATCCCTGTCATTAATTTAGAGAAAAAAAGTTATGATCTTAACGATTTATTAAATGTTACCTTTTCTCATTGGTGTGAATCAATCAACGATTTATGTAACACTTGTAAAAAGAATGATAAAATATGTAAAAGAGAATTAACATTGACAAAAGAAATACTTATCAATCATTTTCTATTATTTTCAGAAGATGGTAAAGTAATATTAGCAAAAAATCTAAATATACGTGCTGTACCAACGACTAAAGTGTCAATAAGTGGACAGCTATACAAAGTAATGAATGCCATATTTAATAATGGGCTGTGTATTGAAAACAATCATTATACAAGTATGTGTAGAGAAGAATAATCTAGCTGGCTTGGAATTGATGATACGCAAATTAAAAAATACTACTGACCAAAAAATGCAAAAAATGTTTATATTCTTTTCTTGAAAAAAATAAATAAATAAATGTGTTACAATTATTCAGATTAAATTACTATTCTCGAAAAACGTAACTTTAAAAAAAAAGTAAAAACAAGCGACAAGTAAACGCACAGCACGTATTGTATTTAATTTATGTAAATACTACAAAAACATTCTTTCTCTATAAAACCTGTTTTACAAAATAGAGAATGTGTGAAAAATACTACAAAAACATTCTTTCTTTATAAAACTTGTTTTACAAAATAAAAAATTAAATAATAAAAAATAATATAATTAATAAAAAATTAAATATTTTTTATTTTGAAAAAACTTTTTCTTTTTTTTTATTTTGAAAAAACTTTTTCTTTTTTTTTGTTTGTTTTTTACGGAAAACAAAACTCCAGGGTCTACTTGTTAGTTTCACTATAACGTAACAAAAATTTATCAGGCCAGAAAATTNCCAGAAAATTCTTTCTTTCAACATTTTTGAATGAGTGATGAAAACATCAAAGTACATAGTTTTTAAATAATCACGGAAAATAAAGTTTTGTTGAACTACTTGTTAGTTTCTCTAACAAATAAATAATCACGGAAAATAAAGTTTTGCTGAATCTACTTAGAATTAGTTTCTTTAACAAATATGTGGTAGACCCAACAAATTCTTTCTTTGCTGTACAAAACTGTTTTCCGTGATAGAAACGTTTCGAAGTAGATAGCTATGTACCATAGGGTGTTTAGGAATAAAAATCAAAACTTCATATAGATTTCGAAATTTTACGACAGACAAAGTTTATTCTGATTGCTTAGAATATGAAGTAAGATTTTGTATGTATAAGTGTACAGTTTCACATTAAGTTTTGACGTTTCAAGCATAGTAAGATTCATTACACGAAGTACCTACTTTGGATAGAAAACGTGATCTATAAATTCTACATAGGTTTATTATTGTTATATCATCTTTTTTATAAATTTTTTTGTAAAAAAAGAATTTTGTAGTATATAGTAAACGACAAATTATATTTTATATTTTCTATTGTTTTATATTATTTTCCAATAATGCAGTAATGTACATATTTTCCAACAGTACATACAACAGTTTACTTGATATTACTTTTTAATATCACTGTTTTATAAATCAGTTTTGTAGAAAAAGAAATTTTTGTAGTATCATACATTCTCTATTTTGTAAAACAGATTTTATAGAGAAAGAAGGGGTGACACTCTATTGACCACAGTACGATTCGACACCGCTCGATTCGACACAGATTTATTCGACACCAAATTATTCGACACCGTACGATT